CTAACCTCCAATCCACTAGTTAAGACTCATTTAACTTAATTAGTGGCAGAAACAAATATTGGTTTCATGCTGGGGCCCTTCTGACAATCCCTTTATGTGTGGGAGCATCTACCATATTAGCCTAATCAATGGTAATCCATATATTATCTGCTCAAGTTTATTATCGGCTCCGCATTCTTTAAAGTTCCCAGCATTAGGCCATGGTATTTGGACAATCTTTAGGGCCGCAGAAGCAGCTTGACTAGAAAAATGCCATATTCCTTAATCTTCGAATTGCTCCCAGTGCATCGGTCCCGGTGGCATTTGCACAATATTTAGCGAACTAAGCATTTTAGTTTGCCACCCGCCTTAGGTTTGGAGCAGAGAGATACCCAAACTATTCAATATAGTTGCATAATCTCTCTGTAGGCTCCTCTTGTATGTCAGTACTGTCCCTTAGTAATACATTATGTACATGAGACTAACGATTATGGAACCAAATTCCATACCCTGAAGCAGATGCTTCTTTTGTATCTGGAACATCCTTTGGAACTCAGCTGTCTCGATCAGCCTTTGGTTCCCACGCCAATTTAACTTTCTGAAAATACATTAGATTTGATTTCATTGCAGTTCAGTCTCCACGCAGACTAAGACCAGCGTATCAGGGAAAGGGAAAATACTTTCTGGGCAATGATGCCTGTTTTCCATATGAAACTCCAGTCTCTCCTTGGTCTGCTGAACTTTACCATGCACAAGGGAGCTCATTCATTTTCCATCCACTCAACCAGCTCCCAGGTTTACTTTTTAACAATAGCGCTGTTACATTTGACACATGCTTGAGCAGACCAGCTCATGTCGCTTAACTTTCTATTCCACCAGGACAGGGAAACCATATTTACTCCACTATTGCCTCTTATTGCTGGACTAATACAGCTAATACTGGATTTCAGCAAATTTCATTGTTAACTGGGTCTGTGACACATTTCCCATACTGACACGGAACCTACCCTCTTTTAGTAAATCAACAGCATGGGAATTATTACCGATCAGTCCCCTTCACTTACAATAAGGTTGATTAGGAAGAGATCTGGTTGGCAGCATCACTCTACTTTGTCAACATACCTATACCAGGCGGTCACAAAACCGATGAAGTGACTGGATCACAATTTCTTGTATTCTTCCGAACTCTCCTCATGGTGGCCAAACAAACTACCAAACCCCTATATTTCAGGATTTGCTGTTCATGTGCTGGGCTCTGGACATTTTCAATAAACTCACTTCCGCATATCAAATCATCAAACCATACTCATTCGGTTCCATGTCGACGTTCACAAATTTTTTGCCACCTCAACCTTTAACTAGTTCACAACACCTTAAAGTTGATTGAATACAACCTTTAACATTTTCAGGTCATTTTAAAAGAATACGTGCTGCTCCTATTACCTCTGGTAATATCCCAGTACATAATATCTAATGGCTCGGACAGTAGAGTAATCTGCATATGCCATATATATCCCTCAACCCGAGAGGGAATTGACATATGCATTTAAGTATTGGTTATGTAATGTCAACACGTATTTGGTGTTAAACTTTCTGCCCTCTTTTACAGGTCTTTTACACCATCATTACTATAACTTGGCTTATTTTATACGACCACAACTGAGTGTTAGCAACCCTAAAAAAATGTACCTTAATTTCCTCAAGTCATCTTCTCTGTAGAGGCAGCAGTAAGCAATGATGCATTAGTTAACATTAAGCAACGCAGAAGTTAATTTATTTGCAAGAACAACACCAAATTTATAATCCAAAAATACTATAGACTTTTCTATCTAAATACTTTTGCTGAAATGAAGATAGCTGTCATAAATCTTGCGATATTCAACGTTGGCACAACATTCTAGGTCAGTGTACTTACCATGACATTGAGAAAATACACGTTGTGAAAGGAATAAATATTTGGGGTAAAAATCTGGTCTGACGTGAACTGTAAATTTTGCACTCAAGGAAAATTTTGTTCAGAGTTGAAGCAAAGAGCTGAATGCCAGAACCACAGAAGCACTAGAACAAGTACATACTGACTTAGCATATCCTACACAACCATATGCAAAAGAAGATTTAAAATATGTCATGTGCGTCACTTATAAAAGGAAAAGGACACTATAGGCACCAAAACAACTTTAGCTTAATGAATAAGTTGTGGTTTATAGATCATGGCATTCTCACTGCTCAGTTCTCTGTCATTTAGGTGTTAAATCACTTTGTTTAGGCATCATTAGCCCCACCTTAATGCATGTGACTTAAACACTTCCTGTAAAGAGTTATCTAATGTTTAAACTTACTTTATTGTGAATTCTGTTTATTTAGAATCTTGTATTTCCTGCTCTATTACTAGCCTTCTAGACATGAAACCTAAGCTGGAAAATACTATTTCAGAAACTGAAAGATGTCTGTTAAAGCAGCTCTGCCCCCCACGCCTCCTACTTCGCCAAAACAAAAATGAGTATTTCAAAAAGATAAAATCTTTGTGAAATGCTCATAAAAGCCAATTCTCAGAAAATCCAACTCAACCAAAAGATATCAAAAGGTAAAATAGGTACAATGTCTTATGTATTTTTCCTACACTTGACAAAGCTTGACAAAAGTCAAGGCTACCTTTTGTCAAGCCCTCAACTGTCACTAGTAAAAAAAAAGGCTTTATATGGAGGATACTGCGGTCTTATGGGATCCTCCATAGACATAAGAGTTGTTGTACTTTCACATTTGAAAGACTCCAGTTCTGACATTGGCTGAAGATGACATTGTGGTAGTAGATTGAGATGCCTGCCATGGACAGGTTTAGGTATGTAAAACTAACTTCCCCTGCACTCTATGGCCACCAGAATGCAAGTAAAGCAGTCACCATCACCATCTGGGTTCACAATACGCATGGACCCCAAGATCTGACAGAGCCACTTTAATCGAGTAGTAAAGTAAACTATTAAAGGAACTATGGACATACACAGTAATGAGTGAAACAGGTGCTTTAACATCCATTTAGAGCAGTGGTTCTCAAACCAGTCTTCAAGACCCACCAACAGTCCAGGTTTTGGTAATCTCCTCATTGGAATAAAACAGGGAAATACATAAATCCTGGACTGTTGGTCTGCCATGAGGACTGGTTTCAGAACCACTGATCTAGAGGAACTCATTGTTATCTGTCAATTCTGATGATCACAGCCAAGGAGGCTGTGCTGGCCAATCAGCATTTCCTCATAGAGATGCATTTAATCAATGAGGAAAGTTCAGTGTCTCCAGGCAGAGCGTGGAGAGGCTGAAGCCCAGCACTGACCCAGGAAGCACCTCTAGTGACCGTGTATGCAGCAATCTAAACACTGCCTTTTCTCTGAAAAGGCAGTGTTTACATTAAAATGATTGCAGGGGCATACTATAGTCACCAGAACAGCTACTTTAAAGGACCACTATAGTGCCAGGAAAACATACTCGTTTTCCTGGCACTATAGTGCCCTGAGGGTGCCCCTACCGTCAGGGTCCCCCTACCGCCGGGCTGGAAAGGGTTAAATCTTACCTTTTTTTCCAGCGCCGATCCGCCTCTTCGGCTGAATGCGCATGCACGGCAGGAGCAATCTCATAGGAAAGCATTCATAATGCTTTCCTATGGACGTTGGCGTCTTCTCACTGTGATTTTCACAGTGAGAAGCACGCAAACGCCTCTAGCAGCTGTCAATGAGACAGCCACTAGAGGCTTTAGGGGCTGGATTAACCCTAATATAAACATAGCAGTTTCTCCAAAACTGCTATGTTTATTAAAAAAAAGGGTTAATCCTAGAGGGACCTGGCACCCAGACCACTTCATTAAGCTGAAGTGGTCTGGGTGCCTAGAGTGGTCCTTTAATGTATTTGTTCTGGTGACTATAGTATCCCTTTAAGACCAGCGAACCAAAGTTTAAAGGATCGCTATAGGGTCAGGAACACAAACATGTATTCATGACCCTATAATGTTAACACCACCATCTAGCCCCCTGGTCCCCTTATGCCTCCATAAATATAGTAAAAATCTTACTGTATTCAATCCTGAAGCTGTAAATCTGCATGCTGTTAGACTCAGAAAAACAAGCAGTCTGCTGACATGTGGTAGCCTGATCCAATCACAGTGCTTCCCCATAGGATTGGCTGAGACTGACAAAGAGGCAGATCAGGGGCTATTATGACCTTACTTAAAGGGACACTCTGGGCACCGTAACAACTTTAACAGAACTAGGAATGGCCTGATCACTCTGCCTCTGAACTTCTGCTTGGACTGAATTCTGCTGAGAAAAGAAAATGATAATGGTCTTGGTATCTTGGACATGGAGCAGAAGTTCAGGGGTAGAGCAATTTAAGGATTTAGAGAGACCTCCTTGCACCATAACAACTTAATTCTAATTAAATTGTTATGGTTTCTGTAGTGGTCCTTTAAATTTGAATGAAACACTTTAGAAAACTTTTCTTAAAACTTTTAAGCTTTTCCACAAAACATTTTAATACTTAATTACAGTTCATTATGGTGTTTAGTTTTTCTTCATTCCTCCAGCACATAAAACATTGCCCTTCAAGCTTGTTTCAATGTTCTCTCAGTGACACATTTAAAATGAACCATAGCAGCTGTTCTTTGTCAATGTACAGTTAACTGTTTTCTGCATTGCATCTGTCTCAACACATCATAACAAGCTGAAATAACGTTTTATTATTATTATTTTTTTCAGCACCTTCTTTGTATTACAGTTTTGTTTTAATTACATGAAGCCGTCGTTTCTGCACGCTCTATCCAAAGAGGAGGAAACCCGTGCCCGTTATTAAGATGACACATGATAAGAGATGATGATGATCCCACGTGTACATTGATTGACACCTTCCACACTCCTTCACACCGCCTGTCAGGCACAGGACCCTTTAAACCCCTAATGGGCGTGGCTGCCACTGTGGGCGTGTCCAGCCTCTGTCCGCTTGTGAATGGCCGACGCTGACTTCATTCCCGTGCTACTTTGCGTGCCCATGTCACTGGGAAAATGGCGGCGACTCGGGCGGGTCCTGGGCATCCTCGGTGCTCCGCTTTGGTACTGTGTGGGGAGATCCGTCCAGGGCCCGGGCTTATCAATGGAGCCGTTAGCGAGCTGAAAAGAGGTAAGAGACCGGGATGATGTGTGGGGGGCTGGCTGAGTTTCACAGTGCATGCACTTTGTGTGTAACTGTATGTATGGGACTCAGGATGTACATACAGGCATTGCTACATCAATACCGTGTACATACGGTGTATAATATACTGTGTATGGCTGTCCAGGCTCTACACACAGATCATTGCTGCATTACCTGCTCTTTACAAAAAGTCTAGAGCTCCCCCGTAATAGACGCCTTGCAAAGGTCTATAATATTGTACATTTATATTCCAAAACACACAAGCTCTGCAAAGTACTGTGTGTGAGAGAATTTGCAGTGATGTTACTACTACTACTAACATTACTGCAATTTTGTGAATTCTTTAACTGGTGTGCAGATCTTTGTTTAACAATGTATTGCCTTTTTTTAGAATTTTTTTAACCCCTTAAGGACACATGACATGTGTGACATATCATGATTCCCTTTTATTCCAGAAGTTTGGTCCTTAAAGGGTTAAATGAACAACAACAACTGACAGGAGCAAGATTTGCAGAAATAATACTGCATTAAATATAGCATTTGACCAAAATTTTGAGGAGGAAGACTTCCCTTTACTATAACTTAAAATTCAGCTATATGGCATTAAATAAGCGCAATTGTTGGTGTGTGTGCACGCGTGCCCACACACCAACAATTGCGCTTATTTAATGCCATATAGCTGAATTTTAAGTTATAGTAAAGGGAAGTCTTCCTCCTCAAAATTTTGGTCAAATGCTATATTTAATGCAGTATTATTTCTGCAAATCTTGCTCCTGTCAGTTGTTGTTGTTCATTTAACCCTTTAAGGACCAAACTTCTGGAATAAAAGGGAATCATGATATGTCACACATGTCATGTGTCCTTAAGGGGTTAAAAAATTCTAAAAAGGCAGGGTCCTCACTGTTGCTTGTTCTTGTAAATCAAACTTCTGAGTTGAACTTAGCTGTAGGTTTTGAGAAACCTTTATGCATATACTTGAAAATGTTGACACCTTAGAATTAATTATAATAATGGGAATGATGTGCAACAAGTGACACCATTGCTCAGCTTCTTGCCTTTTCTCTTATTCACATAAATTTAAAAGTTAGTGTACACAAATGTGCATATGCGTAGTAATTCTGCACTACACAAGTATTGCTGGACCAAGATTCTATCACTGGGTAAGCAAAATACTTGGATCTGCTAAAAAAAAAAAAATTATTATCCTTAACCCCTTAAGGACACATGACATGTGTGACATGTCATGATTCCCTTTTATTCCAGAAGTTTGATTAAAGGGACACCCTAAACATCTAAACCATTTTAGGTTTTGTTTGTTGATCGTCCACTAGAAATCTTCCATTTAGGATTTATGCAGCCCTAGCCACACTTCCACTGGCAGTGATTCACACAACCTTCCTTCATAAAAAGATGTCTAATTTTTAAACTTCCCTTATTACACAGTGTGTTTAACCTAGAATTTCTCTTGTTTTATTTGCCTTCTTGCGCTTCCAGCAACATTCTTTGTGTGTGTGTGTGTGTGTGTGTGTGTGTTTTAAAATTCAGTTAGCAGCAAGAGATAAGAACTTTTCAAGCAAACTGCACTGCACTGCGTGTGATCTACTGTAAAATCTACTTAAAAAGTTGACCTTTTTTGAGAGACACAGCCAGGGGAGGTGTGTGTCTAGGGCTGCATAAACAAAGTGATTAAGTAGCTCTTTAAGCACATTGTAGTGGTAATGGGGCCAGGACTCTTCTGGCACCTCCCAAATTAAGTAAACAAACCATACAAATGGTTTGATAATTTTGCAGGGGTCATCTAGTCCTGTAATGTGATGCGCTTTTTCAGCCAATGAGCTGTATGATTTGACTACATACCCTGGTTGGGTGCTAATGCCCTCCTGGCCTTAACCACTAATGCACACAATATGGTTTATGGTACAAGGAGTGTTCCTTTCAACCCTTAAGGTACAGTGAATTGGTAACTTTTAATACAAATAACTTGTCACTGTACAGTCAGTGCTTGATTTGCAGCAAATGGATAAAACTGAAGAATATTTTTGTTTTGTAACTCTTCTTATTTGTCACAATGTAATGTATTATACTTCCATCAAAATCCATGAATGTTTCCTTTGACACCAGCCTGGAGTATGTAATAAAAGTAAATAATTATAATTTAATTTTTGTTTCATGTAGGCTTTTGTTCATGGGATATAGATCCTTCCTTTTGTAACTTGGATGATCAGCTAAAATTGTTTGTGTCCCGTCATTCTGCCACATTCTCCACAGAAGTTAAAGGTAAGGCGCTTGAAATTATAAATTATTTAAAAATACATTTTCTCCTTGATATTCAGTTAGAGATCCACTATTTGTCATGTACCATGTGCTAAAATCATTTCTGCAGAACACTTTTTTTTTTTTTCTTCTTCTTGCTGATATCTATGGAGGATACTTTGCACTTGGACAGGTTGTCAGCATTGTGTTGTCTGTAGTTTCCTTGGGCTTGACAAATGTAATATGCTTGATGTAGTGAGTGAGGACTGACCAATAACATGATATCCCAGTGACTAATGCTAGTAGCCTAAGCATCCATCACCTCCTAGTTCATTTTAAGAGTAAATTACACGTGAATTAGGAAAAGGTTATATATCCTATTGTGCCTTTACTGATATGCAAAATCTAATGGTTAACTCCTTTAACTTTGTGTAGTTAATCATTCTATTAACATATGTCCTTATGGTCACAGGGATTAATTCCGATGCTCTCTGAATTCAAAGCTTCTTTTGTCTCTGCTATTTCCAGCTGCTTCTCAGCTGAGAAGTCTGATAAGCTTGATGCCTGCCAATGGCCCTTCCTCTTAGCTTGTGGGCATGCTAAAAATTCACAAGGGAACTGTCATATTTTAGGTATAGAACACTCTTACTAGAGACCTGTCAACTTTTTCTGGAATCTCCTTGAGGCAATGCTGTGTTGTATGAGTTGTTTTTATTTATTTGTATCTCTAATCTTTGTGTGCTGCTACAATTATTTATATGTGCCTGCTGTTCTAAGATTAATTGGTATGGGAAGTGTTGTTAGGGCACAGTCCCTTCTGGTCACATTTTCAAAGCCTTTTTATTTTTTTTAAGTCGGGGCTTAATAAATTTGTTTGGAATCCAGGAGCCAGCTAAAAAACATAGGAGCCTTTTTAACTACCGTATATAATCGAATATAAGTCAAGGCCCCTGATTTTTACCCCCCCAAAATTTGGAAAACTTATTGACTCGAGTATAAGACTAGGGTGGGAAATGCAGCAGCTATTGGTAAATTTTTAAATAAAATTTAGATCCCCCAAAAATTATATTCATTGAATATTTATTTGCAGTGTGTGTAACCCTGGTGGGGGGTGGGCATTTTTATTTTAATATTAAATTTCTTTCTCTTTTAAATTTTTTTTTTTTTTTTTTTTAATCTGTCCCCCTGCCCCCTCCCTGCTTGATACATGGCCATGGAATGGGGCTATATTATTCTCTGGTGGTCCAGTGGATGGGTTGTGTAGGAGGGGGCTGGCAGCAAGCTGTTACTTACCTTTCCTGTAGCTCCTGTCAGCTCCATTCTCCTCCGTGCCGTTCAACTCCTCTGTAAATCTCGCGGTCTGCGGCAACGCTCTGAAGGCCGTAGCTCTTGCGAGATTTACAGTGGAGGAGAAGGGAGCTGACAGGAGCTGCTGTAAAGGTAAGTAACAGCTTGCTCCCAGCCCCCAACAGGACCGCCGGACTTGTAATGAGCCCGGCGGTTCTGGTCTGTATTATGGCAATGTAAGTTGACTCGAGTATAAGACGAGTGGGGGTTTTTCGGCACAAAAAATGAGCTGAAAAACTTGTCTTATGCTCGAGTATATACGGTAAGTTTAATTTTCAATTAGAAACATGCAATTCTTAAAGGGACACTAGTCACCAGAACCACAACAGATTAATTCAGTTGTTAGGGTGTCTATAGTCTGTCCCTGTAGACTTTTCAATGTAAACACTAACTTTTCAAAGGCTGTTTGCATTTCCTATGGGAAAGCATTGGCTTAGCTGAGATCATAAAGATTGATGATCTGAGTCATGGAGGCAGGACCAGCTGCAGCAAAACTGGTGCGCCATAGGGGAATAGGTGAGTAAAATCACCTTTCTCATGTGATCGGAGGGGCAGATACCTAAACGGACACATGCACACTCACGAGGGAGCAGTGATCTTCCTGCAGCTCCTCTCAGCTCCCCTGCGTAATCTGTATTGATGCCCGGCTGGAGTTACGTAATATTCCAGCCCCCATCACTAAACAGTGCAAGGAAGCAGAGAGGAGCTGCAGGAAGGTCACTATTCCCTCGCGTGCTGCCTAAGCCTTCAGTGCGCCCGACGGGCGACCTCCTTAAGTGTGCCCCTGGCTGGCTCAATTGTTCTATTTAGCTAAAGGGCTAACAAACCCAGGTGCCAGAGAAAAATTTCTAGTCACCCTGGTGCCCTGCTTTAAGTCCTACTTTTATATCAGGACTTGATAAATTTGCTTGGAATCTAGGAGCTTAATTTTTAGCTGCAAAAATAAAATTCTTAAAGGAACACGAGTCACTAGAACCACTACTTGTTCTGGTGTCTATAGCCTGTCCCTGCAGGCTTGTCAAAAGAAAAGGCAGTGTTCACGTTGCTGCCTAGTGACAGTAATGCAGGAGGCCACTAGAGGTGATTCCTAGCATGGAGGCGCTGAATGTTTCCCCATAGAGACTTATCTCTATGGGGCGCTGCTGATTAGCGGTTGCGCAATAGCCTCCCAGTGCTTTCCTAAGGCAGAACTGCAATTTCCTAAGGGAAAGCTTAGGCTTTTTCTGAGATCAAGATTGATTGGCATGGCATGGGGGAAAAAAGGGACGTAAAATTGTCTTTCCTATGCGATCAGAGGGACACACACTCAGAAATTATAATTTTATAAATTCTTTTAGTTAAAGTTCAGCCAGCCTCCCTTCCTTTGGGAGAGCTGAAAAGGATCTATCAAATATACTTAACATCTATACATTACCGTCCCCAAGTATGGCCCTATTGCATCTTTTCCCAGACACTTGGTCTAGGGTGCAGAAATTGCTTGCTTTTCTGGCGGGTAAACAGGCTCTCATCAGGTGCTGGAGAGCTGCAGAAATCCCCACTGCAGCGACTGTTCTTAATATTTTGATCCACAATTACATATGGGAACAGATGGCACACTTTGCTGCAGAAACCATGCAAGGATAGGATAAGAGTTAAGTAGTCTGGGAGGAATTTTGTGCTGTACCCCGTAATCTGGGGATCAGCAGTAGGGGATGACCGGTTTAGTGTGATTGGGGGTGGGAGGGCAGAGTTGAGATATGAGACAACACTGCAACAACCTTATTGTATTTCTGGGTACTTTAGCTTTTTTTTTTCTTTTAGTGCTTTCTTCTTTTTCCTTACCTCTTCTTGTTTCGATTTCTCTTCTTGCTGCTAGCTTTTCCTGCTTCATTTTACATTCTCAGTGTTTGTTCATAGCTAGTAATCACATTTACTGGGTCACTATAAAATATGTATTGGCCAAGGCCGATCTGTTACCAGGATGGAAGCCATTTGCTTCCACCCCCACTGCACCACTACTTGGTGCCTTGACGGAATTCCGGCACAGTTGATTTTAATTAAAGGACCACTATAGTGCCAGGAAAACATACTTGTTTTCCTGGCACTATAGTGCACTGAGGGTGCCCCCACCCTCAGGGACCCCATCCCGCCGGGCTCTGGGGAGGGGAAGGGGTTAAACTTACCTCTTTCTCCAGCGCCGGGCGGGGAGCTTTCCTCCTCCTCTCCGCCTCCTCTTCGGCTGAATGCACATGCGCGGCAGGAGCTGCACGCGCATTCAGCCAGTCTCATAGGAAAGCATTCCTAATACTTTTCTATGGACGCTTGCGTCTTCTCACTGTGACTTTTCGTGGTGAGAAGCACGCAAACGCCTCTAGCGGCTGTCAATGAGACAGCCTTGAGAGGCTGGATTAACCTATTTATAAACATAGCAGTTTCTCTGAAATTGAGAGAGAGAGAGTGTGTGTGTATGTATATGTGTGTATATATGTATATATATATATATATATATATATATATATATATATATATATATATATATATATATATATATATATATATATATATATATATATAATTTATATTTATTTATTTATTAATTAATTAACCCTAGCTGGACAAGGCACCCAGATCACTTCATTAAGCTGAAGTGGTCTGGTTGCCTATAGTGGTCCTTTAATGCCCATTTACTTTCTGTTATAGAATTTTAGTTGGTACTCTATTTGTTTGTTGTTATCAGATTACGCTCTGACATGCATCTTCCATGGGTCAATCAGGAAGGGTACCACAGCATACATCTTTCAAGCCAGACAATGTGCTAGACCACCCTCTGGTAATATAGGGACATCCCCTTGGTTCGACCGAACTGGGACAGGGGGGACCCCCCCGACCACTGTTTACTACACATTGATGCACAGTTTCATGATCACCAGCCACCATGAGGTTATCCTCACACAACGTTGGAGGACTCCACATCCCTGTGAAACAACACTTTTAGGAAAAAGAGACTCACCCAGCCATTCTGCAACTAGACTATCCGTTCCAATTCCACGCAACCTCCCCCAACAAAACTAGGGGCACCTTGATATTGATCAGCAAGAACGTGGCTTTTCTCCTACACTCCCAACTCATAGACCCAGATGGCAGGTACGCCATTACTATAGCCATTACAATACTATAGCAAATATATACGCCCCGAACGCAAACAAACGACATTTTCTCCACAAAATCATATTAAAACTGCAATCGACCCAACACGGCACCACAATTATATGTGGAGACTTTACTCGTGTTTGACCCGCACTAGACACGACTCTAGCACCAGCCAGAGCCCGCATTGCTCCACTTAAAAAAAAAAAAACAAGGTAAAGGCAAGAAGAGCTCATCCACGAATAACACTTGGACAACATGTAGAGGGCCACCCATGTGGGGGAAATGGGGTATACCTTCTTCTTCTCGGTATGTAATACCTCCTCTCGTATTGATCGTTTTCTTGTCTCAGGCCTGAGCATGAACCAAACAAACCAATGCGAGATAGGACAGATCACTTGGTCCGACTATGCCCCAGTTGAACTGATGCTTAAAGATTTATACGACCCTACTCACAGGAGCCTGTGGCGAATAGTAAAGCAGCTGTCTCTCATAAGCACTGTGTTTAGAGACCTGGAGGCAGAAATATTTCAAAGATGACCGCACAAATGTTATCTGAAATACTCTATGGCAGGCCCACAAACCCGTGATACGGGGACTATTACTACGACGAGCATCCTTAAAGAAATCCCAATCACAACTGTTAAAATATCAAACAGACTTGCATTGCGTAATAACGCAAAATCAAGTCACACCAAAAGAAGAGCTGAGAGATCAAAATGCATACATCAACTGTACCTAGACAAGGTAGGCTTCCACTTAAAACTTAAAGCACATAATTACACACAAGGTAATAAAGCAGGCAAATTGTTAATCTAAAGACTTAGAACTCAACAGGCTGCCCTAAAATAGCGTATATGTTGTCCCCCCACAGGGAACAAGATAGTAGCACCCAAGGACATTAGCAACGCATTTGCAAAATACAAGTCACTCTATAACCTCCGGGATGACGCAAGCGTACCCCAACCACAAGAATCCAAAATAGCCGCCTTCCTAGACAAGGTCCACTTTTCCAAACTCACCCACGCACAACAGGCGTATCTCTCGGCCTTAATCACGAAGCAGAGAAGGCTCCAGAACCGGACGGCTTTGCTAATTGTTACTATAAGCACCTTCAACAGGCCCTTACCCTGCACCTCACAAATGCCTTCAACAAAGCATTTTTAGGGCAACAACTACCCCCAGAAGTGCTGATGGTGCATATAATCGCGCTACCCAAGCCAGGTAAACCACCCACTCATCCCCAAAATTTTTGCCCCATATCGTTACTAAACACTGATACAAAACTTTTTGCAAAAATCTACGCCACCAAGATGGGGGAAATACTTCCACACATAATTTAAAATGACCAAGTTGAGTTTGTGAAGGGGCGCCAGGGAGGGGACAACACAATAAAGGTTCTGACATCATACACAGCATTCACAGGCACCATATAGAGTGTGTGACACGCTCACTAGACGTGGAGAATGCCTTTGACCGTCTGAGCTCGAAGTTTCTGGAGGCAGTTCTCCACAAATTTGAGATGCCGGACACCTTCCACTCGGCGGTCCGGGCCTTGTACTGCAAACCATTCGCACAAGTGGTGACGGCGGGCTTAACTTCAGAAGCCCTTCAACATAACCAATGGGTCACGTCAGGGTTGCCCATTATCCCCATTGCTATCTGTAATGGGTCTAGAGCCGCTCGCAGAGCTTATCCGGGAACATAAGTCCATAAATGGAGTAGTTATTGGAGACAGGGAATTCAAACGAAATTTATTCGCGAACAATTAACACTGACTCAACCCCAAGTCTCAATGCCGAACCTTATGGATATCATTAACGAATCCGGCCTTAACTCTTACTACAAATTGAATGTCCCCAAATCCCAAACAATGGGCATACAAGTGCGAAAAGATCACTTGAAACACCTCAGCAAAACATTTTCGTTTGACTGGAGGCGAGACCACATTAAATTTCTAGGCATCCACATACCCCCCCCCCACCTGCCCCTTCTGTTTAAATTGAACTAATCAAGTCATTCACTGACACGCTTCAGACATGGGAGGGCAAATATCTTTCATGGCTGGGTAGGCTAGCAGCGATCTTCCAGGAGCCTCCCTCCCATGCTCTCCTTTAGCTGGCTGACCGACTGACCGCAAATGCTCTACCTTTAGCTGGGCTGACTGACAGCATACCCATGTTTTTTTATGAGCCGTCTGCACTCACAGGCAGCCGATCACCTCAGGGGCTGAATGGGCCAACAAATCCCAGGCACCAGGACTAAAATCCTAGTCGAGGTGGTGCCTGGGATTTGTCGAGCCCTGAATTAAGGGTTAACCTGAATCTAGTGGCCTTCATATGGAGAGCCTCCAGAGGCACTTCTGCAACATATCATGTGGTCTCAGAGACCTGATCTGATTAGTGCAATGTGGCATTTTGCTGTGAATATACAAATTCTCTGCCAAAGAAGTGGCGCTTACCCAAGGAGACCACCGCTGCGAGAGAGAAAAGGTTAGTAAACTTAACTTACAGCCTTAATCAAGAGTAGTTGTAGTTCATCTGTTTTACAGGGAGCTGTTCAGCTACTTAAAGGACACAGCGAGTCTGTAGACATCGGGCACCATAGTGTGTGTTTGTGTGTGTGTGTGTGTGTGTGTACAATTTATTAATGCTTAGTGGGCTTTTTATTTTTTTGGTCATTGTTCATAGAAATAGAATAAGAATTATTAATATTAACTTATCTCAATGTTTAATGTGGAATTTTATACTGAATTACCTTTTTTATGTTACAGGACAACGAAGCTTGCATCATACTGGAGACACCTTAGAGACTCTTGTTTTAATTAACCCGGATAAGAAGTCGGCGTCCAATGAGGTGTGTATGTATGTATGTGTGTTACATAGCTGAAAAGAGACTTGCGTCCATCAAGTTCAGCCTACCTCACATTTGTTTTTTGCTGTTGATCCAAAAGAAGGCAAAAAAACCCAGTTTGAAGCACAATTTTGCAACAAGCTAGGAAAAAAATTCCTTCTTGACCCCAGAATGGCAGTCAGATTTATCCTTGGATCAAGCAGTTATTACCCTACATTGAAAGATTATATCCTTGAATATTCTGTTCTTGCAAGTATGCATCTAGTAGCCGTTTGAACATCTGTATGGACTCTGATAAAACCACTTCTTCAGGCAGAGTATTCCACATCCTGATTGTTCTTACAGTAAAAAAACCCTTTCCTTTGCCTTAGACGAAATCTTCTTTCTTCCAGTCTAAACGCATGGCCTCGTGTCCTATGTAAAGTCCGGTTTGTGAATAGATTTCCACACAATGGTTTGTATTGGCCCCGAATATATTTGTATAATGTTATCATATCCCCTCTCAGGCGACGTTTTTCTTAACTAAATAGGCTTAAATTTGTTAACCTTTCTTCATAGCCGATATGTTCCATTCCTTTTATTAATTTTGTAGCCCGCCTCTGCACTTTTTCTAGTGCCATAATATCCTTCTTTAGAACAGGTGCCCAAAATTGCACAGCATATTCAATATGGGGTCTTACCAGTGATTTATAAAGAGGCAAAATTATATTCTTGTCCCGAGAATGAATGCCCTTTTTCATGCATGACAATACCTTACTGGCCTTGGCCACTGCTGATTGGCATTGCACATTGTTGCATAGTTTGTTGTCTATAACAATTCCCAAGTCCTTTTCGTGTGTTATCCCTAATTCGCTTCCATTAAGGGTATACGTTGCTTGTGTATTCTTTACGCCGAAGTGCATAACTTTGCATTTTTCAACCTTAAATTTCATCTGCCATTTGAGTGCCCAGTCCCCCAGTCTATCTAAATCCCTCTGCAGCAAAGTAGTGTGTGTGTGTGTGTGTGTATGTATATATATATGTGTATATGTATATGTGTGTGTGTGTGTATATGTATGTATGTATGTATGTGTATATCTATATCTATATCTATATCTATATCTATATCTATATCTATATCTATATCTATATCTATATCTATATCTATATCTATATCTATATCTATCTCTCCAACAATAGTAGTCCAGGGAGCACACTGGGTCTTCAAATTAGTGAAAAAAAAATTCCTTTTAATGTATCATAAAAAATACATCTGCTGTGAGATACCGACCAACGTTTCGACCCTCCTGGGGTCTTTATCAAGATCACAGTGACACAATACATAAACAACAATATATACATAAATGTAAACTAACCTTACCAATAGAGTGATGAGGCAGCCGCCGGACTGAATAACCCGGAAGTGAGAAACCCACGTGCACCAATGCGTCTGACGTACATGACAGGGGTTGCTAAGCAACCTAGCGAAACAAAGTGAGTGCAAACGGCAAAAAGCCGAAAAGAGTCCCAAAAAACTTCAAATCCAAAGTATAACATTAGGAGGAACTAAAATCCCAACCATTAAGCCTCATGCAGCACAGAAAAAGATACTATACCAACGTGCCAAGTGACCTGAGTGCAGTCCTGAATAAATGTGCCCAAATAGTGAACGGACTCTACATCAAGTGATATAAAATCTGTACATGTCATAGGCTAAATGGAAGGAAAGAACATAGGGCAAATATTGTACTTGCATTAATCTTCATAGGTACATCAAAGTACAACATTAAATAAGTATCAAAAGACATATTTCTATCCTAAATAATACATCGAAAACTGAGCATGAAATACATATAATATTAAGAACTACAAAAAATAATGAGCATTAATATAGCCACATCTTATTCTGGGGATAACCACCTTGCTGGCTGGCAAACAGTTAATATATCTACACATAGTAAATTAACACCTAAATATCAGGAGGTTAGTCAGACCACCAGTCTGAGAACCAAGTATGAGAAAATAGAAAAGTACTAAATAAACCATGAATAGTGAGTACATACTGGACAAAACACAAAGGTACCATCCAAGGAGAATACAGATAGAGACCCAAAGAGAGACATTGACACTGAACTAAGGGTAAATTAGATGGTTAATCTGTCACGAGGAGCGCAATGCACCAATAATGTATTTAAAGAAACATCGAAAGAACTAAGTTCTCATTAAGTCCTTTCGGCGTCACTGTATTTAGGTGATATATCCAATGAGCTTCCCGCTGTAAAAGTAGTTTAGACCTGTCCCCTCCTCTTGGTTGAGCAGGTACATGGTCGATCGCAATGAATTTTAAAGTGGGTAAATGGTGTTGCATCGCGAGAAAATGTTTTGCGACCGGTTTGTCCGTTCTTAGGTCCCTAAATGCAGTAAGAATCCCTGATCGGTGTCCCCTGATCCGATCTCGCAGAGTCATATCGGTCTTACCGACATATGCAAGTCCACAAGGACATGTAATCATATATATATGACATGTGTAGTCATGCAGGAAATATAGTGTTTAATGGGAATTCTTTTTCCATTATGTGGATGAGCAAATGTCTGTCCAATTAGCATATGACTGCAAGTGACGCAGCCACTGCATCTATAGCAACCTTTTTTATGAATTTTTGATGGTACGGCGTAACACTGCCGAGGGTCATTTTTTACCAACAGGTCTCTCAGGTTACGGTTGCGTCGATAGCTGATAGTCGGGTGTACTTTGAATCTGTCAGGAAGATTCTGGTCACACTGAAAAATG